ACCCCAAGAATGATAGCCAGAGGGATAGAAACCACAGGATTCACTGTTGTTGGATATTCCAACGGAACTATGAATGCCAAAAGGAAGTAAGTAAAAGTGTAGTCAGGATCGGTGTTCACATAAAAATTCCGCAGTGCCTGGAGCTTGGGGCAGAGCAGTCAATAGTTACGTTGGTAATAACACCCACTCATACCGGTGATATATTGCTAGTCCCTTTCTCACAATAATTAATTTGACACAGATTCCCAGAGAAACTTGTTCCACATTGATTTTCCATATCACAGTTTCATTCTCACATTATTCAGGAAAGTATGTAGGTATTAGGTTATACAATATTATTATCTTGTATTGAATGGGAGACAGGACGTGCAAGGGATGAAAACATTACTGAAATAAGCAACTTTCAGGTGAAGAATATATTTTGTTAAATTTATATTGGAATCTTGACTCCAAGGAATTCATCCTTTTGGCTCTTTGGCTGGGAATATTGAGATTCTTTTTTTTTTTTTAATGTTATTTGTTTTGTTTATTTCTTTTAAGACAGAATCTCCCTAGGTTGCTTAGGCTGGTCTTGAATTCCTGGGCTTAAGCCATTTGCCCTCCTCAGTCTCCGGAGTGGCTTGGACTACAGTTGTGCGCCACTGCACAGGCCCTGTATGTGAAGTTTTAAACCCCTAAAAGTGTTTAAGGGTTTGAGTTGTCATAGGACTTAATTTGAAGTTTCTTCAACTGTCCTTGCTTGTAGGAGAAATTTGCTTGTATTGAAATACACATTTGAGAAAATCTCAGAGTAGGCACCCAATTGGCCTGTTTTGATAGTAATATATTTACTCGTGGTCAGATTCCAAGAATCCATTTATTTGGCAAAGTGTCAAAAATTCAGATGAATCCAAGAGATTATGAGCATTTGTGATAAGCAGCCTTGGAGCAAGAGTAACCAAATGCCTTATCCGGTGCTCACTGCTGCTTAGTGGAAATATTTCTCCCATGCGACAAAGGTTAACATCTACACATACAGGATAGTGTTTACTTATTTACTCACTGACTCCACAATTAGATTCGAATGCATACTGTGTGCTCGGTACTTTGCTAGGCCCTAGAGATTCAAGTAGAAATCAACACTACTCTGACCTTGAGTTGCTGCCAATCAAGAGGATGAGACAGACTAGCTATGCTGCAGTAGAAATACTATGATAAGGATCTACACAAAATTGCATCCAGCCAAGTTTATATTAGTAACACTGTGTTGCTTTCATCAATGTCTATTGTTATTTTCACTAGTATTAATGTTATTTTCATTAGTATTGAAAATAACAATATTTAATTTCTTTGCATATGCAGCTATAACATTGAAGAGTGAACTGTCTCTTCCAACTGCCTGATAAGTCAGAATGCATTTTTAATTTTTATATGAATTTTTTCTCTCCCGTGGTAGTCATAAATGTAGTTCATCACGAAATTCCAATGACTTTTTCCTAAACAACTAAGGACATAGAAATATCTTCAAGTCATAGTTACTTGCATTAACTGACCCCTAATGCAAATACTTAGTTCCAGTAGATTTTTTTGGTTCAACATTTAATTCAGTTTAGCCTTTCTTCATCCTTTCAGCCTCATTGGTAAGTTACTTTGCAGCAATTTTTTGAACAGATTATATTTTTAAATGATTTTTTAAAACCTCTTTGTTAATGGCTATTAACCTTACACAGAATCTATGTTTGTACTTCTGTATAATTAGAAGGGCCAAACATTGAAGTTCTTAATTAGCCCAAATTTCCCAAAAAGCCAGTAGACCTTTTATCTACAGATCCCTTTAAAAGTGGACCACGCTTAAAACCAAACCCAGTAGATTGAGGAGATGGTAGTTTGGTCAAAATATTACCTACTCAAAAATATAAATGACAGAATTTCGCTTGCAATCCCAGAGTTAGGGTTTTGCATATTCGTTTTGAATAACTTCAGTGAAGTTAAGTGATTTGAAATTGAATGCACTAGGGTAAGCTGGTAAGACAGCTCAAAGCTATTGCAGGTCAAGGAAATCTGGGAAGTGGAGTCATCCTCACTTTCCAATCCCTTTCATTGTAGAAATGCCAGCACCATCGGACCCTGAGCGTGGCTGCATCTTGTTATATGTATAGAAGTTTTAAAATCAATTTGATTTTCA